TTCCAGACTCTCGAAACCAGACGGGAGTGAGTGAGCGAGCGAGCGCGAGAGAGAGAGAGAGAGAGAGAGAGAGAGAGAGAGGGGACTTTGTTTATATGATGTTTATGTGCTTGTTTTAAAAGAGAATACGGGAATAAAATGTCAACAAACCTGTCTTAAGTGATAAAAGCCGGTCTCTGTTATTTATTTTTTGGCATTTTCACTGAAAGATGAGAGCTGTAAGGAAGTTGCATGACTTTTCCATGGAAATGCGTGATGAATCACCATGCATTTAAAATACTGTATCAATGCATTCTATGGCACCTTTAAAAATACAACGCACATATTTGAGATATTGGATCATATTTTAATGGTTTGAACTAATGTGATCTTAAAATATTGAGCTCTATGTCTCTGAATGAGTCGGTGGTGATTGACAGATACATGTTTCTACAGGAACATTGAGATGTTGCCCAAACATGTTTCATATTCAGCCATGTATCTCATTAAAACTGCTCATTATGACGGTCATCTGAGCTTTAGACTGAATGTTATTGCTTCATCTCTCAGGCTGATGATACACGTGGATGATACTCAAAAAGTTGCCCCGAGTATCATCAGCCTCAGAGATGTGTGCTAAATATATATCCAGCACCAGAGGAGAGGAAAACTGCAGGTGTTTCCTGATGGAAACTACAGCCATAAAGTTTTCAGCATGTCCTTGAGCTCTGTCAGGGAATGCTGTTTATCGCCAAAGACTCTCTTGGTCATGCTGGAGTGCTGTTAACAGATTAAATGTGCCTGTAAACCATTTCAGGAAGCTTAGTTATTCTTTTGTGGCATGTTGTTAATAACTTGCAATTATTTAAGTCGAAGCTCCCAAGCAGCTTACAATAAGAAATACTATAGCACAAGTAGTGAAAAATCGATAAATCAACCGATATTTGGACATTTTAAAACCATATCAATTAATTTGGGTATCAAGATGTATCAGTTTAATATTGGGTAAAACGTGCCTGTTTCCACAATTTTGTTGCCATGATTAAACTGTTCTCATATATAAATGATGTAATGATGAAAAATTATGTAAAAAGTTTTGTCTGCAAACCTGCTCTCAAGATATCAGTGTTGGCACTGGCCATTGAAAACACATCGAACACTAATAAGGAAACTGTTGCATGAAAAAAGATTTTTTTTTTTTTAAATGTTCCAAGAGTTGATGCATATAACTGCATAGAGAGGGAAATGCATTGATTGTTTACCAATTGTTGCTTCAGGTTTGAGTTTTTTATTTTAAAGGGGTCATATGATGCTGCTAAAAAGAACATTATTTGGTGTACAACTTCAGGGATCTTATCTATGCACAATCAGCTTGTAACACTCCAAAGAGATAGGAAAACTTGAAATCGCATCATATGACCCCTTTAAAGTTGCGATGAAACGGAAGTAGCAGCAGATCTTTACTTCCATATTCTGATGACGTCTTTCACCAGAAGGTCCTGTTACGACATTTTGATAAAAAATTCTGAAACATATGCACAGATGAATCGTTCACAATACGCTCTACAACATGCATTTAGAATATAGTGTGGATTTCATGACATCTTGAATTCTGTGATTGTTTGTAAGCCGCCCCAAAAACACCCCATATCCTGCAGCTTTACCGACCATCTGCCTGATACATGGCATCAGGGGGTTCTTGAGCTTGAGAGGAGGGTGAAGGGGGAAATCCTGAAATAAATGAATGTTGGGATTAATTTCCCATGATCTCTGGTGCACATGCTGGTCATTGTTATGAATCTTGGATTACTGTTCGTTTATTAATGACCCAGAGCAGATGATTAGTGGGACAGGGGTGCAGCAGACCCTCTGTGCTTGCTGTTGAATGGTTAATTGTTAGTGTCTTATAACAAGTCATTGCATCACCATGACAAAGGCTTCTGTTTACATTATGCTATGGAGCGTCTCCATTGGTTTTAAGTGCCGGTTTTGCCAGCATTGGTGTCCTGCACAAATAAAGGTTCTTTATTGACGTTAATGGTTCTCTGAAGAACTGATCACTGAAAGGTTCTTTGTGGAACCCAAATGGTTCTTCTGTGACATCGCTGCGTAAACCCCCTTTTAGAGCTTTTATTTTAAAGCGTGTGAACTGCTCTCGTTTTATGTTTTAGACTTTGTAGATTGGCGTGCAATTCTGGATCTTTTTATTTCCGAAGCATTGCGGTGAGGTCATTGTTATGGTGAGCTGTGTTGATCGCTTTGTTTTGGTGAATTGCAGCTTTGTTTTGTAATTGTAGAAGCATGAGAACATAGTTTTTCCTCTTGTCTTTTCAATAGGGATTATACTTCAAATTGTGTGAAGTGATTTTCTAAAGCCTGCTGTGACTCCTGTCTTGACTGTGTCCCAAAACCTAGGCATTTTCCTTAACTAGACAGCATGTTTGTATATTTTTGGGCATCGTGAGTTTATTGCAACTTTTGAATGCTGTCAAGGTAAGGAGCGTACTAGATTTCGAGACACAGCCGGTGTTGGTTAAAGAAATAGTTCACCCAAAAATGAAATGTGCTTACCCTCAGGCCATCCAAGATGTAGATGAGTTTGTTTCTTCATCAGATCTGGAGAAATGTAGCATTGCATCAGTGTCTCAGCAATGGATGCTCTGCAGTGAATGGGTGCCGTCAGAATGAGAGTCCAAACAGCTGATAAAAACATCACAATAATCCACAGCACTCCAGTCCAGCAGTTAACATCTTGTGAACCGAAAAGATGCGTGTTTGTAAGAAACAAATCCATCTTCCTCCAGTGAAGACGTTCATCCGGTTGTCTCTCACATCAAAATCTACCCACTTATTTGTTTAGAACTGTTTTGGCTTGTAAACGCTGCTTGATCTGTGCAGGTTTCTCTTCTGATTCAGACCAGATGACTTTTTCACTGGAGGAAGTATTATTATGGATTATGGACTCGTATTTTAGCAACGGTTTAAGGTTAAAAACATGATGTATTTGTTTCTTACAAACACGCAGCTTCTGGTTTCGCAAGACGTTAATTGATGGACTGGAGTTTGGATTACTCGTGGATTATTGTGATGTTTTTATCAGCTGTTTGGACTCTCATTCTGACGGCACCCATTCACTGCAGAGGATCCATTGCTGAGACACTGATGCAATGCTACATTTCTCCAAATCTGTTCCAACAAACAAACAAACTTTGTGTGAGGTGTGCATGGATTTTTTTTAAATCGCTGATCCAGAGCTAGTTGCAGGTGTGTAAGAGGGCCGTTACTCTGCTTTACGGGGGATGGGCTTCTGACCCGTGGTTTATCGGACGCCCATCCTCTCCGGGACCATTAATTCTGTTTGTGTGTGTGTGTTGATGGCTCTGCCTACTAATGAAAGCAACTGACAGGCCAATTAAGATCACAATCAACACCACAAAAGAGCAGGAAGGGGAGGGGCTTTGATTGATGGCCGGCTATATTTGGGACCCATGTGCAAGCCACTGGTGCACATACATGCAAACAAACATGCATGTGCCACGTGTCAGCTCACGTCTAGAGGGAGGAGAGAGGAGGAGCAGCAGGCCAACGGGGATGCGTCTGGAAGCGTGATCCTCTTACATGATTATGTGGTGACCTGAGGAGCTATGTGGACACCCCAGCCCTCGCTCCCTTTGTGTCCTCACATTTAATTAAAGCGACAAATCGACTGTACCTCACGCAGACGTTCATTATAGTGGGATTACTACGTTAGAATGCATTGTGTTCTGTCTGATGTTCTGCCCAGCCTCATTTCTGCTGCAAAAGTCACTGTCTTTATTTCTCTTGTTTTTGTGGGCGTCTTTTATCGGAGTTACTCATGTTTTTATCTGTCTGTGTTTTGGGCAGAAAGTTTAAATAGTTAAAAGAAAAAAAAATAGAACTCTGTGATTTATGCATCAACATGTTGTTTCAAATGGACTTCTTTGTTCCATGGAACATAAAAGGAAGCATTTAATTTTAATTCAAAAAGTGTTTTTTTTTTCCTTCAAAGGGAATGTCATGGTACATAAAAGGGCATTATAAAGCTAATCCTGACTCATGTACTATTAGTATGTAATAGTCATTATTCGTTGTTATTTTTATGATACTTTTTTTGTCCTACTTGAAGTTTGACAGCTATTTGTCACCTATTTTTGAGAATCTGCTAGATGTGATTTTCTTTTTCATAAAGGGAATTATGTAATTTAGGCTGGAACTTTAATTAGTCATGTCTTAAAGGGATTTTTACTCATGCATCATAAATCTAGTCCATATTTAAATTCTTCTAAAAATAGCACATCAATTTTGAGTCATTATTTACTCATACTTTTTTTTTTTTTTGTCCCTTTGAAGCTTGACAACTATTTGTCACCATCTACTTTTGAGAATCTGCTAAATATCTCCTTGTCTGAAAAAGATAATTGCATGTTTTGGAACAACATGATGAGGGTGAGTAAATGATGACAGTGTTTTAATTTCAGAACAAACAGCCTTTCTCCATTAAAGAGACGAGGTGGATTTTAGAGGCACACTCTGTTGTAAATGAACACAGAGCGGTTGGACGCGTCTCTCGGCCAGTGTGTCCGTTAGTGACGGACTCTTTCCACCAGCCGTTATTTTCTGACAGAGGAATGTGGCCCTTGAGACCCGGAGCCACACTGCCACCCGCTTCATAACCCGCAGACATCAATTCTGGGTTTGTGTGTCCTCCGCTGTTCTCCTCCGCTTGACATTTTGTGGGCTTGAAGTGCACTTGATTTTAGCTCTCATGCTGTTCCTCCAGTAATTAACTTGTTCTCTCGCTCTGTGGTTTTTTGTGTCTGGGTGAAGAGTGAAAGCGATTGTTTATTCTCTTGGAGACCTTCAAAAAATTTCCAGATTCTTTTGTGTGCTGTCATGGAGGAGTTTGTTGGGAAGGACAGCACAAGCGAATGAACCTTGGACTCCGTGTGTGTGTGTGTGAGCGAACAAACGAGGGGGTTGTAACAATAGGACCATTGTAAATGCTTGGCTGGGATTGGATGGGGGTTTGCTGAGTGGCTTCATTAGTCAATCTGTTTCCCTCTCTCTCTCGCGCGCTCGTATCCTCTGTCAGTGAGTCGCTGCAGGAGTGTGTGTTGTGATTTACTGCGTTGGGGTGTTCAGGTGGATTGTCTGCTGGCAGCTGGACTGAATTCGTCTGTGTGTGCGTGTGCACCTCAGGTGAGTGTCTCGCTGAGAAGATGATGGAGATTTAGGATTCACATGAGTGTGTCACTGACAGCATGTGTGTGTGGCTGTTATTGTGTGAGCGTTAAGTGTGTGAGTGTGTGTTTAGGGACAGGAGACATTTGCTTTGTTTCCTCAGCTGTGCTTAATGTTGACTGAACTGTCTTAATCCTGCAGTCTCTTTATGTCTATCTCTCTGGTATTTGGTCACAGTGATTTAGGTCTTTTCTTCATTCTTTATTTGAAACTTTTTCATTATAAAAAATTAGCAATGAGCTCTGCAGGCGACGATTATCCATCCTGTGATGGGACAGCAGGGTTTAAGTGGAGTAAACTGACATGAACAGTGTGTGTTTGTGTTTACAGGAAATAACTGGCGTGTCTGAGCTGATGTGTGTCTGTTTTTATCAGACTCCTTTAAAGTTTTTTATCTGTCTCTCTTTCAGAATGTGGACGTGAATCTCTCTTGTAACTAATGATGGCAGTTCAGGCTGGTTTGCAGGTATGCGACTTTATGATTTTATGTGCTTTTTATTTATGTGCTTTTTCCAATTAGAGTGGACTCGAACCTGCATCCTCAAGAACAGCTTTTTTAATCACAGTTATGATAGTTTGAATATTGTTTTCGAGGAAAATGATGTTGGTGATTGTTGTTGGTCAAGATCTGAGCTAGTTATAGAAGAGTTTCATGTTCAGATGGGTGGATGACATAAAGTCAAACAATGATGGCATTTTCCTTTGGTGTGACCTACTATATCCATATAAAGTCTGGAAGATGGATAAAATGAGAATTATTACATGTTATGGCAGATATCATTCTATACTTTTTTTTTTTTTTTGTCAAAATAAAACAATAAAAAACGTAATTTTAAATGCTACATCACAAACATTATGTACAGTATGAAAAATGTATTCATTTGGATTGGAATGGATTATCACTGTTATTAAATCTATATTTATAAGATTAACTTTAAGTGAGTGTTAGGTGACAAAGCTAATCTAAATGTACAAATTTGCATTAAAGGCATGCACAATTATATATCTTATACTGACTGATACCAATAAATTAATTCTCTTATATCAACTGATAACTAATGTAACAAAAATAGTGCATCTCTAACTTCCTTATACATTTAAGCTATTATATGTTGAAAAGAACTACTCTGATACACCTGCTCTTTTCTTAAAGAGGACACCTGACTCCATATGTCTTCAGGGCGATGGTTCCCGCCATTTGTGTTCTAAATTGCTTCGAATTTGAAGTTTGAATTTGAACATTCCAATTAGATCATCACAGACGTGAGTTGTTGGTTTCACACCATCCTGTCTGAATCAGAAGTGATTTGTAGTTCAGCATGTGTCCATCTGTAAAATCTGATGTCATGTGTGAACTGACTACATTATGTAATGCCATTGAAACATTTGTGTGTGCGTGTGATTGATTGAACACACCAGACTGTTTGCATTGAATTAACAACCATAAGTGAGAAATAGAGCGCTCCACAAGCAAACACTGACAATACATTTCAAGTTTAACCGAGTAGAGTTGACTGTAATCTGCTATGGAATGGTAATCTTGGATGTCTTGTATAATAGGAATAAAACACCCCCACATGGAAACGCTTTCCTGTTTAATTAGTCAGGCTTTGTGTGCAAGCAGAAGAAATGCTCCATATGTGTGTTAGTAGGAGCCTGAAGCTCTCGCTCTCTCGGTTTCTCATGGGAGTTTGGTGCATGTGTGGGAACAGCAGGGTTCATGTGTGCAGAAAGGGTTATGGCATTCCTCTCCGAGTGGCCTGCTTGTGTGTGTGATTTTTAAAATAGTGCTTTTTTTTTCAGTCCTTCCCAGCAAAGCAGTGTGATTTAGGCTCGTGCAGAGTAATGGTGAATGTTTCTATGGTTGTGTTGTTTGCGTGTTTCAAACAGATGTTCTGCCTCAGTCTCAGTCAGGTAACATTTATTTCTATAGCGCTTTATACAATACAGATTGTTTCAAAGCAGCTTTGAAGTAATAAACAGAAAAGAATCAGTGATCAACTTCTTCAAATATGAGACGGATCCAAATTCTGCCTTAAAACAGTCAGTTCAGTCAGTGTTGATTCAGTTCACATCAATAACAATGTTTATGTTGCAAAATCCATCTATTATGAAATGAAATTAATTCAGCTATAAAGCAGCTCCGCAGCTGAAAATGTTCACAGTTTTGAACAAACATTCTTTCAGTAACATTAATACGTTAATTCAAAGTTATCTGGTCTTTAATAATGTTCTCAAAATGTTAGCGCAAAAACATTATTTATACATTGTTCATGGAACGTTTAATTTCTTCGTGTAACATTTTTTAAATGTTACTACTCGTTTCAGAACTTTCAGAGAACATTCAAAAGTAACATTCATATAATGTTTGCAAAATTGTAAAATGCAATGTTCCCTTAACGTTCGCGTTCCCCTCAAAAAATGTTTTTGAAACATTTAACAAAAAACTGGGCATTTTAAATGTTTGGAGAAAATGTTAGCAAAACATTTTTAGAACATTGTCATTATCTCGATTCAGGTCAATTCAGTGCAGTCAAATCAATAATATTACGGAATATTAAGTGTCTATCACTAGTAGTATTACTCATACTCACGGTTAGGGGTTTGTTTGAATACTTAACCCCAAGTTTTTAACTTCAGCATGTTTGTGTGAAGCCTGTGAGAGGTTTTACCACAAGTTCTCTTATGAGAGTGTTGTTTAATCTAAATGTTATTACTCCTCTGCTTGTGTAAGTTGTCATTTGTTTGATTTGTCGTGTTTGTTAGAGCTTGAATGTTTGCAAACTGTCCTGATTTCAGCAGGGTCTGAGTTTCCGGAGAGAGAGCATAGAATCTGTGTGAGGGGTCATTGTGTGCTTCTCAGTGTGCACATGTTGAGCTGTCTGGTTTTCCTCTTTCTCTCTCTCAGGCTTGGTTCGGCGAGAAGTTTGATGTCCCGTTACAGAGTCCTCGCGGCCTGCGCTCTCCCCGGCCCGGCCCGGGTCTGGCTGATGTGTTCCATTATGACCAGTGGTTGGCTGTGCGACACGAAGCCACGCTGGTACCCATGCAGGAGGATCTGGCCATCTGGCTGAGTGGCATGCTGGGTAAACCTGCTCATGCAAAACAAGACGTCTATGACTCACTATCAGCACACGAAAGTGAAAAATTACTTCCATTATAAGTCTAAATGCCATTTTCTTTCGTCAGTCAAATAACTGAAACCCAAAGCCTCACATATCAAGCAAAGAAGTGTGGGAAACGACGTTCGCTCTCGTATAACGGTGATATACGACCCCCGAAACAAGAACTCAATCTCTCAGCCTTTGTAGAATAATGGAGGGTGTTGCCTTTACCTGTCTGTCCACATGCTGAACATGTTCACCCGGGTCAAAAGAACGTTCACCCATAAACCTATTGCTCTGTTTGTTGCCTTTTTTTTTAGATTAAGTCCTTGTAATCCTATAGTCCTCTTTCAGATAATACACTGAATACGTTGTGGAATTTGAACAAAATACTAAAATGTGACTGTTTTGTGCTGTCGACCTCGTTCATTTTCCACTGACGGTGCTGGTGATTGTAGAATCATAAGTGTGAATTTTATGTGTTATTCATAGTTTTTGGTCACGTGACCGGCGCAGAGACCTGGAGGGCAAAACGGCCATAGAATTGCAGCACAGGCCTGTCAAGTTTACATGTATGCATTTGGCAGATGCTTTTATCCAAAGTGATTTACAAAAGAGGAACACAGCAATTCGTCAAAGGGCAAACAATATTCATAATATGCAATGCCCGGTTTATTAGACAACTAGATTAAAGGAACACTCCACTATTTTTGAAAATAGGCTCATTTTCCAACTCCCCTAGAGTTAAACAGTTGAGTTTTACCGTTTTTGAATCCATTCAGCCGATCTCCGGGTCTGGCGGTAGCACTTTTAGCTTAGCTTAGCATAGATCATTGAATCTAATTAGACCGTTAGCATCTCGCTCAAAAATGACCAAAGAGTTTCTATATTTTTCCTATTTAAAACTTGACTCTTCTTGTAGTTACATCGTGTACTAAGACCGACGGAAAATGAAAACTTGTGATTTTGTAGGCCGATATGGTTAGGAACTATACTCTCATTCCGGTGTAATAATCAAGGAACTTTGCTGCCGTACCATGGGTGCAGCAGGCGCAATGATATTACGCAGCGCCTGAAAATAGGCTTATTGGAAGTTACCTAGCTGGGACTATTTTCAGGCGCTGCGTAATATCATTGCGCCTGCTGCTATTTTCAAAAATAGTGGAGTGCTCCTTTAAGGCAAGATTAGGCAAGCTAGAAAAGAGGAGAATAGAGAGAGTGAAGGTTTTGGAAAGTGACTTTTTTTGCCTCATTGTGAAGGTTCCATCTTGTACTTAAAGGTGCTGTATATAATGTTTTGACTGTACTAAAGCATAAAAATACCATATGTTTGCAGATATTAAGGCAACATGCCAAGTTCACATGTTTCTCCTAAAAAAACAATGCTTCAGCCAGTTATTCTACTTTGAAATGTGTGTTCTGTGTCGGAATGCCTGTTTTTGTATTGGTCTGTGTGATTCCACCCACTGCCAGTTTACCCAATAGGATTTTGAAACCACGGGTTGCCAGTTGGTGGAAAACGCAACGTGTTGCAGCCAAACCAGCAAACCAACTGGGTCACAGATAGAAGATTCTACCTGACCTGATAAAGCCTCGACATCCATCTAAAATGCTCGATGACCTGAGAAATGGGAAGCTCGTTCCTGTTCTGTCTTCTCAATCTGGCAACCCGCGTGAGCGTGGAATCAGTCAGTCCACTAGTTGACAATATTACTTACTGCACCTTTAACGTGTAATTATATAGCGATATTAAAATATCACATTCAGTATACATTTTTTTGATGATGCATACTATATACAAACAGATGAGCCTAGAATATGAATGCAAATATAAGCATTTTCCCGTAGAAAACCATTATAAAGAAACTGCTTAACGTGAAACTTTGCGCGATGCACTCACATTCTGGGCTCATCTGCTTGCCTGTATGCTTTATTAATATAGTGTATACTGAATTTGGTTTGCTTAATGGATTAAGCCACATTTTTTGTAATGGTTTTCTATGGGAAAATGCTTGGCGTACAAGTGAGCGTGTTGCGTAACTTGTGTTCATATTCTGGGCGCATCTGCTTAACTGTATAGTGTGCATCATCCGTAAGGTATATACTGAATCTGGCCTTTTAATATCACTGTTTTAGTATGTTAATACTTAGTACAATCCTGGTAAAAATAATTGGCAGGAAAGCCTCGTTTTGCCCTATGTGAAAAATATGAATATATTGAACTTCTAATCATCAAAGCCAGCTCGTGATGGCATAATGATGCTGAATTCAGTTAAAGGTTATTTAGTAACATGTAAGTCAGTTGCATAGCTGTTGTCAGGTTGTTGGAAACATGGAGATATTTGTGTTTTTGCAGGCGAGCAGGTGACAGCCGAACGCTTCATGGAGGAGCTGGACAACGGTGTCAAACTGTGTCGCTTGGTTGGAATTCTGCAGAGTAAAATCCCACAGGACTCGGAAACACAGGTGCGTAAGGAACGTGGTGACGCAGCTCGCATAACCGCAGGACTGTTAGCGTGTAATTCCCGTCTCTGTTTTGTTAACAGCTGCCCTTAAAGAAAATCCAGTTCAATAAAAACGCCTCCCCTGGATCGTTTTTCGCCCGCGACAACACAGCGAATTTTCTGTCCTGGTGTCGTCACATAGGAGTGGACGAGACCTATCTGTTTGAGTCTGAGGGTTTGGGTAAGAGAACTTTTGACCATGTGTCCTTAACCAGGTGCAACTTATAATTAAAGGGATAGTTCACCCAAAAATTACAATTCTGTCATTAAGGTGCTAGGAAACGCTGTTTTGTACTCATTTCTTGATGAGTCGGCTGCGATGCGGCTAACTGAATGCGCTGCTTCTCAGCCGCTCACTGCACAGAACAGACGCCAAGAGACGTGACACTTCTCGGGGAAGTCAGACCTCGCGTTCTCGGGACAGCACTGGCGAAATCTTCCAACTGAACCATAGCTAAGGTTTATCCAAAAAAGTCGCTAGGTTTGTCAGTATGAA